CAAGGGTAATAGTTAGAAAGTTAGTAAAAATTAGTTGTTAACAACTGATTTTCAGACCGAGTGAATATTTCACTCTTTCAAATGAGGCACGCAACCATTATATCGCTTTTGGGTAGAGTTTAAGATAGTGGTAGAGTTCAAAACTTTGATCACCTCACTCAAACACTTAATGTTTAGGATCGAACCATTAAATCTAAAAACCGGATCCGAAGTTCCAGTAAATTTAACCCATTCAGCTAGAGAGGAAAGACAGCGGTGAGCAGCGAAAAGTCGAAAACCAAAAAGTTGAAAACCAAGAAAGCTGGTGGCCTTTCACCTGAAAGAAATGGTGGGTTCACGCGTCTTGAAATGACTAAAGTTTGTGTTTGGTTAGGAAAGGATTTTCCCTCTTTACCTATTAAAGTTTTTGGATATTTTAGTACTTTTAAACCTCATCACTTATAAGGAATAAAACTTTCTATTTTTTATAACAAAATAAGTAATGTTTTCTTTTTACTTATCTTAAAAAAAAAAAAATCTTGTTTTTCAATTTCTTTAATGTAAAACTTATTTGATATTTTCTAAAAAAAATTTAAATATTAATTTGTTAACAAATATGAAAAAATTAATAAAACAATAAAATTTAAATAAAATTTTATTATAAAACAAATTTTAACTTTCCATATAATATTTTTTTCTATAAAATTAACCTTTGATCAAAACATTTAACCTTAGACACCTCATTTTTTTAGATCAACCATCTTCACTATCGCACTAGCAACTCAAGTGAGTTGATATAATATGCATCAACAACTTTAACCCAATTCAAAATTCAAGTCTTTCTAAAAACAATTGTAATATTTCCTTCATTTCCCTCAAAATTCCCCTTTTCAAAAAAAAAAACACCATCCTCACTGCCATGCATACAATTCCATTCTATCATTGATCTTCTGAATATTAAAAATGGGTTTCAAATCCATGAGGCCCTGAGGGTTTTGAAAATTCTTTGTGAAAATGAAGTTGTGTACATGTGAGTTGGATACGGACAGTAACATGGAAAATGACTTTATCACTATCTAAAGCAAAATTACAATGCTATAAATAAAAAACAAAAAAGTACTATATTGTCATTTTGGATCCAATCAAGATACGGAGAAAAGCAGGCTTTGGTCATTTTCTATGTTTCAAAAAAATATTGTTTGATGCCAGATGGGCAATCTGCCCATGCAAACACACATCTATTAGTGCATGAAATTACGTCCATGCCCTCACTCCTCCCACCGACGACACCGTTATTGTTCCCAATCCCATCCATTGCTCGAGTTATAACTAATTAAAGAGACTGTTAAATTCAACAAGACTTTCACTCAATATTTGTCCCAAAACTTTAATGCTTAAGTTTAGTTCGTCGAGCACTAATAACTTAAAAAAAAATCTTTTATTCTTCAAAATTTCTCATTTAAAAAAAAAGAAGTTAAATTTATTAATATTTTATTTTTATTTTAAAAAAATGAGGATGAATTATAAAGATATAGACAAAAAAAATTAATTTAACAAAATAAAATATTAGTGACATTATCAATATCACTTGTGGCCATGACGATTCCCCCCATCCACCTTGTCGGTCCATGAAATCATTAATTGGAATATCAAGTTTTTATATGTTAAAACTCTCTTGTACTGTTCAGCACTTGGTGATTTAATGATCACCTCCGGTTGAGATGTGCTTAGAACTAAAAGAATTTGGAATCAAATCTTAATTTTTTTTTTTCCCTTCCAG